GACTGGGGGCCTGAGGGGGCAGCCCCCGGTTCTGTTCCCGAGGCCAGGTCACGCGCACGCGGCTGAGCCCGTAACAGCAGGACAGTTCTTCCCGAAGCCTCGGGTGGCACCATCCTGTCCCCAAATGTCCTTAACTGTTTGGAAACAAAACGCAGTCATTCGAACGTGACCCTGGAATAGCGGAAGGTCAACCGAGGTCACACAGGCCCTGAAGGGGAGGCCCCGAGGAGCGCCCTGAGCCTCCAACAGGACGGGTCAGCAGCTCCGCCTGTAACGGTGGCGGGTGGGGGGCACCATCTTCAAATTGGAGCAAAACCATCTGCTCCCAGAAGAAAAAATTCTACAAGTTTCACTAAAGAAACTTCTCGGGATGGCAGCTGCCGGGGCCAAATGAGAATTCACCCAAAACCGAAACGCAACGTGGCTACGCCTTGTCCCCGCAGACCCCGAGCTCCGGGGGGAGGACGGGGTGTCTGCTGCATTTCCGCCCTCTTTTCCAGGAGGAGCCCCTGAAATCGCAGGGACCCAGCCCTCCCCTGTCCCGAGTACACGAGAGCAGTTCAGGCTCCAGTTAGTGTTGATGGGCGGAGTGTGCGACCAAAGTAAGAGACTCCGCCCGGGAATCCCAGGGCCCAGGGAGGCTCCGTCCCCGGGCGCGAGCCTGAGTGAAGGGGAGTCGGGGGCAGCTGCAGTCATCTTGCCACCAGGAGGGGCCCCGCAGGGAAGCCAAAAATGAAGCCAGGGCAGAGCAGAGCAGAGGTGGGAGAGGAACGCAGGCCGGGCGGCATTCGGGAGCCACCGATCGGCTGTGTCTGATGCCAGACGGGTGGGGCCTGGGTCTGGACACACCTGAAGCCACTCCCGGCTGTGTGTGCAACTAACGCCGTTTAGTGCGTGAATGAAGGCAAGGACTGTTGAGTGCGCTCTGTCCCCTGAAACCACGAGTCCTATTAAACACAACCATCGGCTGTCAAAGAACGTGACGCGTCCTGTGTCCAAGTCGGGGACACAGGAGCCCAGGGGGAGCCTGCGGTTGTATCTGAGGTGGGGAAGAGGCCGGCACCGCGTCACGTTGACGTGTCCTGTCAAACCCGTTTCAGCGTCACAAACGTACCCGATGAAGCAGAGACCCGTTTGTAACAAGGGCTACCTCCTGACGCTAACGGGCGGCTGCCTCCCGAGACGCCGAACACTAATAGGGCGTTCACACGTTACGTTCAGATTTACGTCTAGAGACCCCCGTTCCACGGAGCCACCACCCGGCCCAGCCACCTCCCTGGGTCTCTACCCAAAATATTTGAAAGCGTTTCCTCGCCAAGATAAAGGGCCCCCCGTGCTCATCGCAGCAACCGAAGTGCCCTCCGCTGGGTGACGCGGTGGTGCGTGTGCGCCACGGGACGGGACGTGACGCAAAAAGGAATGTCACCCCCGGTGACAACGGGGGTGGCGCTTGAGAGCATCACGCTAAGCAGGTCAGACGGGAAGAGAAANCAACGGGGGTGGCGCTTGAGAGCATCACGCTAAGCAGGTCAGACAGGAAGAGAAAAGACCGCCTGGTGTCACTCACGCGTGGGACTCGAGCCAAAAGCTATGGACAAGCCACCAAACGCAGGCAGACACCAGCGGGTGTCACCAGAGGGGACAGGCCCGCACAGCGACGGGAGGCACACGGCGCAGCGTAGATGGTGGGACACAGGCTGCACGCCCGAAACTTGCTATACAACGTTATCAACCAAGGTCGTCCCAATAAATTTAATTTGAAACAAAGAGTTCTCGGTCTGCAGGAGAGTTTTCTCTCGGGCCTGGAAAACAGCGATTCAACCTCGAGCCAGCGAGCATCCTCCGAACAGCGTCTGCTTCTCGCTCGCAGGCGGCCGTGGGCCGGGGCAGGGAGCGTGTGCGGCCCACGCGGAACAGCGAGTGGGAAGAGGCCCGGGAGTCTGCGGCGTTCATTCAGAGGCATCCCATTCTCACATTTTTCAAATGAGGCTTCTAAAAGCTCGGGAGGCGAGCAGAGCGCGGGGGTTAATTGCACCATTCTTGAATTCGGCTCGGTCTCCAAGCGCTTAAAACAGTTCCTTTCAAAGCAAAAGTGACGACACGTAACAACAGGGAAGAAAAAGACAAGCGAGCCAAGAACACGGGGGGATTATATAAATAACACCACCACTGTGCCCATTGGGGCAAAGACAGTTTCCAAATGGCAGGACGGGAGGAAGAAAACAGCAAAAAAAACCAGCTGAGCGGCTGCGAAAACTCAGCCAAGTTGGCAGCCACGACTCCGTTTCCGGCTTTGACGGAAAATCAGGAGATAGCGTTTGCAGGCTCCTCGCAAGCTGGGCCATGTGGGCAATCAGAGGAGATTGTTAAAATTAACAGTTAAAATTGGCAGCACTGACGTCGTGCAAAATCTCAGCGACGGTGTGAGCGAGGCTCGTCTCGGGGAAGCCGTGGCCGTCGTCTGGACACGGGCACCAGGGGAACTGTGTCCATCGCTCATTTAAAGCCCCCTGAAGCCCTTGCCCTCACTCTCTCACTGCGCCCCGGTGGCATTTTCATGACGGGACCACTTAATTCTTCATCTACTTGTCCGCTGTCCCTCCGTGAGGACGGAGGCCCGTCCCTGCTTCCAGCTCAGCCGCTGAGCAGCCCACGGCCGTTTGCTGAGAGCGAGCGAGTGAGTGATCCCGTCAGCAAGGGGGCACAAGGCCGTCCCCCCGGAACTCCGCCGAGAGCTCCCACCTCGCCCGCTCCAGCTCCGCCTTCTCCTAACCCTTCACGCCAGAGCCCGGGAGATCACAGAGGCGCGCACTGGAGTGTCCTCGGTTCCTCTCCCTCTGCCCCCCACCGAGGATCAAGGTGTGTCCGAAACAGGGACAAGAAGACTGCAGAGGAAAGGAAATCGGACGGCCCGCGGACCAGAACGTGGGGCCGAGTGCCGGGGCTGGCGCCGGCGTGTTTGCCTTGGCGTCGGACGCTCGGTGAATAAAACTCCAGGCTCCACTGGGAGACGCCGATCTGTTGCCCTCGCCAGACAGCACTGCATTTCCGCACGCTTGTCGTCTGCCTCAGACACGCCAACCTGGGGGCGCGGCTTCCGGGTGCAGGGAGTGGGCCCGGGCACCAGGCAGCCGCCTCTGGGCACCCGAAGGCCCCTGAGCCCCTCGGGCGGAAATAAGAGTGATGCTGCGGCCTGTGTCACACAGGGTCCCTCTGGATAACATCTAACGGAATATTGCTTCTCCGTGGCCCGGCGCCTCGTGATGACAGAGAGTAAGGCTGAGACAGTCCCCATCGGCGCTGGCTTAATGAAATCCAGTCTTAATACAAGGTCTCGATAAACGATAGAGAAGCAGCACCCGGAGTTGTCCACCTGGCACAGCAGCCCCTGCAGGCGAGCCCTGGGTAGAAGCCGCTGATGGCGCCTCCCCCAGCAGCCAGCGGGCGAGCAGCTGTGTCCTTTATTTTGAGATCAGACCTGGTGAGGCTGTCGGAGGGGGGCAGGGGCTGCCCACATGCAGGACCCGGACCTGGGCCCCACCTAGATGGGCTCTGGCTGTGGGGCCGCTGTCCTGGGGGAGGGGCGCACAGGGGGCCCGAGACGCCAGGCCTTGGGAAGAACACGAGGTGAGGACTGTGCGCGGGACCCCAAGCCCCATGGCTCTGAGAGACTCTCACACGCATTTGGGGAGAGACAGGAGGACCATGGCGTTTAAAGGTCAGGCGGGACTTGATGGCTTAGCCCCCAGTCCTGTCACTGGGGCTGGGGGTGCACGTTCTGAACTGCCCAGCCCCCTCCTTCCTTCCCTCTGTCTCTGCCTCCCTCTGTGTCTCTGTCTCTTAATGAGACTACGCTATAAATATTCCCCTGAAACTTGATTTGCTCCCTTAATAACACACCATGTGATCTCCCCAGATAACAGACACCAACCAAAATTACTCAATGACGTCACACTGGTCCACGGTGTGGCAGTGCCAGGACGGGCCCACCATGCCCTTGGATGGGCACAGACCTCAACCCGGTTTCCTTTTGAGCTGGTTCCTATGGTCCTTGCAGGCACATCCCAGGGTGGAAGTTGCAAGGCCGGAGCACACGCTTGTTTTCAGTCCTGACTGGGGCTGTCAGGTGCTTGCCCCAAATGCCGGCCATCCAGTGTCCTTCCCCCACAGCCTCGCCAGCAACGGATGTGAGCGCTTTCTGTGCGTTTTGGTAGCACAGGAACGAACTCAGGCCAGGTCAGGAGCAGGGAGAGAGCACCAGGGAGCACAAAGGACTCAGTCTCCCAGTCAGGGTCTGAAGCCTGGACAGAGGCCCGGTGGCAGCCAGCCGCCCCCTGGGCCCACTGCCGGCCCCTCCCGAGGCCCCGCCCGAGGCCCCGCCTCCGCCTACCTTCTGCAGAAGGTCGATCTCCTGCTGCTTGGCGTTGAGAACAGCCAGGGCCTGCTCATGCTCCAACTCCAACTGCTGCCGCCTCTCAGCAGCCTCGCGCATGTGCTGTGGGGACGGGGCGAGGTCAGGGGGCGCGCTGGGCGCTGTGCCGGGTGCCCTGTGCCCTGTGCCCTGTGCCCTGTGCCCTGTGCCCTGCGCCCTGCGCCCTGCGCCGTGTGCCCTGCGCCCTGCGCCCTGCGCCCTGTGCCCTGTGCCCTGTGCCGTGTGCCGTGTGCCCTGCGCCCTGTGCCCTGTGTCATGTGCCCTGTGCCCTGCGCCCTGCGCCCTGTGCCGTGTGCCCTGTGCCCTGTGTCGTGTGCCCTGCGCCCTGCGCCCTGTGCCCTGTGCCATGTGCCCTGTGTCATGTGCCCTGTGCCCTGTGCCCTGCGCCCTGCGCCATGTGCCCTGTGTCGTGTGCCCTGTGCCCTGCGCCATGTGCCCTGTGCCCTGTGTCGTGTGCCCTGTGCCCTGCGCCGTGTGCCCTGTGCCCTGTGCCATGCACAGAAGCCCCTCCCCGACTCCCCCGCACCCTTGTTGCTTCCCCAAGTTTTTTCCGAGGGTGGCAGACAATCAGGGGAAACCCTGGCCCTAGCGAGGCTTCCGCCCCGGTTTTTTCTTTTTTACACTTTAAATGCAAGAGCTACAGGTTCCCATACAAAGGTGAACATTCCTCTCTTTCCTTGTTTTGAAAAAATTCTGTCTCTTTTCTACATTTTTCCCCGGTGCCAGCCGAGGTTTCTCACTTTCTTCCCATGCAGTGGGCGTTGTCCCAAGCTTGTCACTGCCACAGGAGCCATAGTATTTGCCCAGGTCCCCCTCCTGCCTGGTCCCCAAATGCCACACTTCTCCTCGGAGGCAATTTGCATGTCACAGCGGCCACAGCCCTCCCCATCCTGCAGGTCCCTGAGTTCTCCCAAAGTGTCCAGAAACCCCTGCCTTTCACCCCAAGACAAACTACCCCTAAATTCCTAATATGTGGCTTCCACGTCCAACGACAAATATCTTCTCCACCAAGGGCACAGGTCGTGTGCCATGGGGACAGTTTTCATCTGAACAGCACCCGGATTACGCATCGAGCCACAGCGAAGCCGCCGGCCTCCAGTGCTCCCCGGGGCCGGGTGTATTTTTAAAGCAGAGCTATTTATAGCAGGACGCCGACGTCAACTTGAGCACTTCAGTAGCCTACAAGTGTCACCAAGCCGCTGCCCTGGGAGCTCGGAGAGGCAGGAGGGGACGGAACCATCTTAACATCAGACCCAAGGGGGATGTGTCTTCTGCTCGGACCTGCCCGGCCTGGGCAAAGTAATCAGGAAAAAGTCATTTCCCTTCACAGGAGTTACAGGGGTGGGGGAAGACAGATCGGAACCAGAGAGAGTGTGAGCCCCGCGGAGCCAGCCGGGCAGCCTCAGTGCCCCCGACAAACCCCCTCAGAGGTGGACACGGAGCCCGAGCTTCCAGGGCAGAAACCCCGGGTCCTCCCTGGGCAGGTCTGGGCGACGCCGTCAAGTGTCTGCACCAGGCCCTTCGAGGGTTTTGCTGGAGGCTGAGCCCTAACCGAGAGCTCGGAGGGTTTTACTGGAGAGCGTGTCCCGCAGCAAAGAGGAGCTCAAAACGCTAATTAAACCCTACGGGGGGACCGAGGGCAGGTTCCAGGTTTCGATCCCAGGGAGAGGAGGAGTCTGCACAGGCCCCAGGGGATGGGTGGAGGGGCTGCAGGTAAAGGCAGATTAATCGTCACAGTGGGAGCTACTTATTAATCCCAGATACTCAGCTGTTCATCACCACAAAATAAGCCTCAGCTTATCTGCATCCGAACTGACTAATCTGTTCATCTTGAGGACAAAACTCCTTTCTGAACACTGTTTCCTTTTGCTCGGAGTCATGAAATAGAAGGGGTTAAACTGAATTATTCAGAAACGGTTTTATACGCCTGGGTCAGATTCCAGACGCGGCACCGTGTGCAGAGACGTCCAGGTGGACAGACAACCAGAGGGGAAGCTTCCAAGGATCCGGCCGAAAACCCAGCGTCGCCCACCTGCGGCTGGACGGAGAGCTCGACAACCTCTCAAGGAGCGGACGGCCCTAATTAGTCACAACGTGTTTGAATTAAACAAAACTCTATCTTGAAGCACCTCGCTCCAAGGTCTTACTGGAGAGGTCAGAAACGTGAAGGTAGGGGCTTCCTGGTGGTCAGCAGGGATGGGAGGGAACAAGTGTCTCCCCGGAATTGATTTCCAAGTAAGGTCAGTCTCAGGCCCTGGGTGGAGGGCCCTGGGCTGAGGTTCAGATGGGAGAGCGGTGGGCCCCTCAGTGCCCGTCGGAATACAGGGCCCTTCGCCACTCCAGCCAGGAGGAACGACTGGCCGGCAGGCGGGCAGGGGACTCAGAGGCTCCGAGGGGAGACCCCCACAGCGAGCTTGGCTCCCATTCGGGCCCAGCAGTGTGAGAACAGGGCTCCTTTATTTTTAAATTGAGAAAAAATTCACCCTCTCCACCTGTCCAGTGCGGTGGCCCTGGCACATGCACAAGGCCGTGCAATCATCACACTGACGCCAGAACATGCTCATCACCCCAAAAGAAACCCTGTGCCCTTTAGCAGTCACTCCCGTTTCCCACTCACCCCAGCCCTGACCACCCTCTAACCAACCGGCCTGCTTCCCCTCGGAGCCCCAGGACCCCCCCCCAAATATTACAGCTCGGAGGTAAAGTCGCTTCTGCAGAGGGGGGGCTGACGGGTGCCTTGCTCGGTGCTTGGACGATAGGACCGGACGTGGTTGCTATTTTACTCCTTTATGTTTCAAGCTTTGTTCCCACAATGAGAATCCCATAAACTTTAAAACTCGAGGGGAAAAAGGCAAAGAATTCACTCAGCTCCACTCCGACATCAAGAGCAAGTCAGCCCACCACTGGCCATGAAGGGGGCCCCAGCCCTCAGAGGTACAGGGGGCCTCCCGTTCCCGCTGCCCTGATAAAGCGGTTTTCTGACTTAGCAACGAAGGTCATTACACATCTGAGGAGCCCCCTGAATTCATGAAGTTTGAAAACCCAACGCAGACATCTCCGGTCTCGGGCTGAAGGCAGCCCGACTGCCTACCATCCCCCGCCCAGCTGTGTTTAACATCCGAAGAAATGGAAATGCATAATTGGTTTTACGGGATCGCTTCCAGAAACACTTGAATTTTGTCATTTATCGCTTTTTATACCACAAAAAGGGTAAAAACAGCCCCGAGAGCCCTGAATTTTGATGATGGCTTGGAAAAGAGTTTCAACTCCCTTCCGCTCAAGACCACACACGGGCCCCGCGGGCGGCAGCAGGGCTGGCCTACCTTTAGGACCTGTTCTAAGTTCTCCAGCTTGGCTTGCAGCTGGCGCTTCTGCCTCAGGGCCAAATCGCGTTCTCTGGTCACGAGGGTGAGCGCGTGACGAAGCTGGGCATAGTCCGCTTTCACCTGCAAGGAGCGAGGAGGAGAGGAGGCCGTTTGCCACGCGGTGGGAGCCATGGGCACTCGCCGCCCCCCCCCCCCCCCCCC